CCCAAAAATAGTAGTGGTAGTTATTTAGGGTCCTGGAGGATCTCTATGGAGCAGGGATCTCAGACCCAAACCTCCAGACCTTACTGCATAGGCCGTGTGGGAAGGTCCCATAATGTAGGGCTTCGGACTATACGTTGACGATGATGACGTTGATGTTTTCGTATAATAGGGTGGAGGATGGTATGTGCTGACATGCATTGGCAGTACGTTGACACGACAAGAACCTTTTAGTACATGCCAAGGAAGTGAAAGTCATGTCATGCTAATAGTAAAAGAATACCAGCAACAAGACAACTGCTGAGCAAGCGTGCAACACGAAACAACAACATCCATGTCTAAAGTGACCAGAGTATAGCAGCAGCCAAACCAAAGAAGGATAATATCAATATCACTAGAGCACCGTGACATTAATCTGACATGGTGAAATCTGATACGCACGGTACTGTGAGTAAATGGGGGTCGGGGTAATTTGGGTCGGGGAAAAAATCGAACAAGCAGCTGCGAGGCGATGAAGAGCGGAGTGGCCTTGTCTCTCGTAGCCTCAAGCGGACTCGAGAGAGATTTCGGATCCAAGGCTTTTAGGGGAGGGGGGGGTTCGGATCGTTTAGGGTTCAGGGGTTTAGGGTTTAGGGGTTTAGGGGTTTAGGGTTTTGGGCTTTTGGGTTTTCTGGTTTTGGGGTTTTGGGGTTCAGAGGTTTCGGGTTTAGGGTTTGGGTTTAGAGCTTGGGTTTGGATTTGGTTTAGGCATCTGGGGCTTACTGGGCTGGGCCTTGGATTCAGGCAGCTTGTGGATTAGGGCGTCGGGTTTAGGCTTAGCGAGCCGTGGCAGCGTTAATTTGTACTTCTCCTTTTGCTGCTTGGGTCCCCAAGTTGTTTGGATAAACACCCAGAGAAGAGACCCAAATTGATTGATGGCATTATCTGCCGTCGTTTGAGGCCATAGCTACACCCCGAGCACCGCTTGGCAGCACTTTCACCTTCTAGATGTCTAGATGTTAGCCGTGGGTGTGCAGGGCTCGCAAGCAACAACTGAACAAACTCATGCTACACAGGGCATGTAGTTCTGATGCCAGCCAGCGGCCAAGCAAATGCTACAGCTACACCTTCTGCCTGCAGGTGAGAGGAAGGACAAACACGGACACACTCAGAATCACACGCACTTGCATTGCATATTCGCTGTGTGGTGTCATGTTGCATTGCTAGCGGATGATGTGGACCTCAGAGAGAGAAGGAAAGCCATGTGCAGAGACAGAGAAGGAGGGAGAGAGAGAGACAAAATGGGGGTTTCCGAAAATGGGGGACCCTAATTTTGTACCCGAAATAATAAGCTCCTTATTATAAGGACCCCAAAATNNAGAGAGAGAGAGAGAGCAACCGGTGGGCCTTATTGACGTTGCATCGGTGCTCAATGAGGATTTGGACGTTTCCGTGGTGTCCATTCCTGGGTAAGAAGCACTGCGGTCGCTGGTGGTTCAAACGGCTGGATTGGGCTCAGGTTCATAGGCGAGCACCCCCACAACAGCAGCACCAACACCAACACC